CAATTTACTTAAACTGGTGCCGTACTCTGTTTCACAGTATTGGGGAAGTGTATTTGGAAGACAAATACTCCCGTGAAGCAGGCTTCAATAGCTTCCCCAATACTGTGACGGTATTTGAAGCCAGTTTGAAGCCGGCTTCAATAGGGCTTCAAATACGATTCCCCAATACTGGGACGGTATTTGAAGCCAAGGGGACTCGGGGTATTTAAGTGATGAGGCTGTGTTATCCCGTATAAGGGGTCCACGTCACCAATTTACTTAAACTGGTGCCGTACTCTGTTTCACAGTATTGGGGAAGTGTATTTGGAAGACAAATACTCCCGTGAAGCAGGCTTCAATAGCTTCCCCAATACTGGGACGGTATTTGAAGCCAGTTTGAAGCCGGCTTCAATAGGTCTTCAAATACGATTCCCCAATACTGGGACGGTATTTGAAGCCAAGGGGACTCGGGGTATTTAAAATTCTAAATAGACGAGTAACCATGAGGAATCGTCTTGGGTCAGCCGCTGGCTTCAGGACGCCGCCACCAGCAGAATTTTAGTTAAACTGGCTTCAAATACCGTCCCAGTATTGGGGAAGCTATTGAAGCCTGCTTCACGGGAGTATTTGTCTTCCAAATACACTTCCCCAATACTGTGAAACAGAGTACGGCACCAGTTTAAGTAAATTGGTGACGTGGACCCCTTATACGGGATAACAAAGCCTCATCACTTCGGCTTCTCATTAGTACTGGTGGTTGTTAACACAGCTAAAGCGACGGCCTTCCGGGACTTGGGGCAGGCCACGAACTAAAATTCTGCTGGTGGCGGCGTCCTGAAGCCAGCGGCTGACCCAAGACGATTCCTCATGGTTACTCGTCTATTTAGAATTTTAAAATACCGAGTCCCCTTGGCTTCAAATACCGTCCCAGTATTGGGGAATCGTATTTGAAGCCCTATTGAAGCCGGGCTTTAACTGGACTTTCAAATACCGTCCAGTATTGGGGAAGCTATTGAAGGCTATGCTTTTTAACGGGAGCATTGTCTTATTTCCAAATTACACTTCCCCAATACGTTGAAACAGAGTAACGGCACCAGTTAAGTAAAATGGTGACGTGGACCCCTTAAAGGGATAACACAGCCTCATTTCACTTCGGCTCTCAGTAGTACTGGTGGTTGTTCACACAGCTAAAGCGACGGCCTTCCGGATGGGGCAGGCCGCGAACTAAATTTCTGCTGGTGGCATCCTGAGGCCAGCGGCTGACCCATGACGATTCCTCATGGTTACCCGTCTATTTAGAATTTTAAATATCCCGAGTCCCCTCGGCTTCAAATACCGTCCCAATATTGGGGAATCGTATTTGAAGCCCTATTGAAGCCGGCTTCAAACTGGCTTCAAATACCGTCCCATTATTGGGGAAGCTATTGAAAGGCATGCTTTCACGGGAGTATTTGTCTTTTCAAATACACTTCCCCAATACTGTGAAACAGAGTACGGCACCAGTTTAAGTAAATTGGTGACGTGGACCCCTTATACGGGATAACACAGCCTCATCACTTCAGCTTCTCATTAGTACTGGTGGTTGTTAACACAGCTAAAGCGACGGCCTTCCGGGACTTGGGGCAGGCCACGAACTAAAATTCTGCTGGTGGCGGCGTCCTGAAGCCAGCGGCTGACCCAAGACGATTCCTCATGGTTACTCGTCTATTTAGAATTTTAAATACCCCGAGTCCCCTTGGCTTCAAATACCGTCCCAGTATTGGGGAATCGTATTTGAAGCCCTATTGAAGCCGGCTTCAAACTGGCTTCAAATACCGTCCCAGTATTGGGGAAGCTATTGAAGCCTGCTTCACGGGAGTATTTGTCTTCCAAATACACTTCCCCAATACTGTGAAACAGAGTACGGCACCAGTTTAAGTAAATTGGTGACGTGGACCCCTTATACGGGATAACACAGCCTCATCACTTCGGCTTCTCATTAGTACTGGTGGTTGTTAACACAGCTAAAGCGACGGCCTTCCGGAACTTGGGGCAGGCCACGAACTAAAATTCTGCTGGTGGCGGCGTCCTGAAGCCAGCGGCTGACCCAAGACGATTCCTCATGGTTACTCGTCTATTTAGAATTTTAAATACCCCGAGTCCCCTTGGCTTCAAATACCGTCCCAGTATTGGGGAATCGTATTTGAAGCCCTATTGAAGCCGGCTTCAAAGCTTCAAATACCGTCCCAGTATTGGGGAAGCTATTGAAGCCTGCTTCCGGGAGTATTTGACGACTGTGAAACAGAGTACGGCACCAGTTTAAGTAAATTGGTGACTGGACCCCTTATGGATTCATCCTTCGGCTTCTCATTCTACTGTGGTTGTTAACACAGCTAAAGCGACGGCCTTTTGGGGCAGGCCACGAACTAATTCTGCTGGTGCGGCGTCCTGAAGCCAGCGGCTGACCCAAGACGATTCCTCATGGTTACTCGTCTATTTAGAAGTTTAAATACCCCGAGTCCCCTTGGCTTCAAATACCGTCCCAGTATTGGGGAATCGTATTTGAAGCCCTATTGAAGCCGGCTTCAAACTGGCTTCAAATACCGTCCCAGTATTGGGGAAGCTATTGAAGCCTGCTTCACGGGAGTATTTGTCTTCCAAATACACTTCCCCAATACTGTGAAACAGAGTACGGCACCAGTTTAAGTAAATTGGTGACGTGGACCCCTTATACGGGATAACACAGCCTCATCACTTCGGCTTCTCATTAGTACTGGTGGTTGTTAACACAGCTAAAGCGACGGCCTTCCGGAACTTGGGGCAGGCCACGAACTAAAATTCTGCTGGTGGCGGCGTCCTGAAGCCAGCGGCTGACCCAAGACGATTCCTCATGGTTACTCGTCTATTTAGAATTTTAAATACCCGAGTCCCCTGGCTTCAAATACCGTCCCAGTATGGGGAATCGTATTTGAAGCCCTATTGAAGCCGGCTTCAAACTGGCTTCAAATACCGTCCCAGTATTGGGGAAGCTATTGAAGCCTGCTTCACGGGAGTATTTGTCTTCCAAATACACTTCCCCAATACTGTGAAACAGAGTACGGCACCAGTTTAAGTAAATTTGTGACGTGGACCCCTTATACGGGATAACACAGCCTCATCACTTCGGCTTCTCATTAGTACTGGTGGTTGTTAACACAGCTAAAGCGACGGCCTTCCGGAACTTGGGGCAGGCCACGAACTCAAATTCTGCTGGTGGCGGCGTCCTGAAGCCAGCGGCTGACCCAAGACGATTCCTCATGGTTACTCGTCTATTTAGAATTTTAAATACCCCGAGTCCCCTTGGCTTCAAATACCGTCCCAGTATTGGGGAATCGTATTTGAAGCCCTATTGAAGCCGGCTTCAAACTGGCTTCAAATACCGTCCCAGTATTGGGGAAGCTATTGAAGCCTGCTTCACGGGAGTATTTGTCTTCCAAATACACTTCCCCAATACTGTGAAACAGAGTACGGCACCAGTTTAAGTAAATTGGTGACGTGGACCCCTTATACGGGATAACACAGCCTCATCACTTCGAATTTTAAATACCCCGAGTCCCCTTGGCTTCAAATACTGAATGTTTTCACCCTTGAAACAAAGCGCCTGCGATACGACATATACTCAGCACACATGCAATGGCGGCAAACTTGCATGACTGGAAAATCAAAAGAGAGAATAGGAAAATGTTTCACAAAACCTACTCCTCAAAACTACAAACTCCTTCCTTCCTTCCTGGGTGCAGGTTACGTAAAACACAAGCACCCCGCCCAAATGCACATGAGTCCTCAAGACCTCGTGCTGCATTTGTTTGTGTTCGTCACTGCGACAAAGCACTGAGCTTACAAGCCGAACAGTGGAAAACTCGAAATGTTCGACAAACGAGTTTCAAGAAAGAAGGAACCTATACAAGCCGCCATGCACATGCCGAGAAAGTCGCACCGCACTTTGCTGTTCGTCTCTGCCGAGCGCGGACGTACCGCAGTCCTGGGCCTCGGGTGTGAAACTTCACTGCCTGCTACGGACCTCGGACCTCACCTGTGCTGCAGGAGCAGCGCTCAACTGCTTAAGAGGGCCGGTGCCCCTTTCAAGAAAGACCCAACAGCCATTCTCAAGAGTAATGCCAAAACCTAGCGCTGCTGGCTAGCTCAAGACATCAAGGATTATGGCAGCAAGTTCGCAAAACGGTGACATCCACGAGTCACCAAGTCGAAACACGCAGTCGCCTATAGCGCAAAGCAAGATCGGCTTCTTCAGCCCAAGTGGGTCTGACTTCCCAAATGGCTGGTAACATGGACGTCCAAAGCATTGGATAACCTCACAAGTGCATTGAAGTCGCAACTCAAGGATAGTCTCAAGCTTGTTTTACAAGAAGGGACTAAACCACAAACTACTGGAAAGGCTCGGGTTCGGGGTGTTCTCGGCGTGGATCGTCAGCTTCATCGGTAATCCGAAGCATTGGGAATCGCAAGTCATTGCGAACTCGGTTCATGCAGATCAAGCACATCGTGATCCTGGGATCACGTCGCAAAAGCACACCAAGCTCTTCTTCAGCAATGACAGCAGCTCTACTTAAACCCCAACACCCTCGGAACACATGCCATCTGCGCCCGGAGATCGGCGCATGATACACAAGCAGCTGATCGACAGCAGCAGGGAATCCAGGAGGATCAACAACTGCAATCGGCACTGCTGCCAAGGCATGGTTCTCAAGCTCGTCGATCGGATCATGGGCAGTGGGTGAAGCAGGGTGGCTGTTGCCATCGCCTGCCCCATCATTGCTCTGCGTTGGCTCTGACAGCGGCTCATCAGAGGATGCTCTGGTCACATCGGGTGTTTGCGCAAGCTCACCATCTGAAGGAATGTCATCGCTCAAGGTCGCACGTCGTCGTCGCAAGCAGGTGTGGTGGCGTCGTCGGGTTCACAAGGCATCTGTTGCTGCAGCTCGGCACTTGGCAACACAAACCAAAACCCTAGACCTATGAGGAATCCTACGATTAGGGTGAACCATACAACCCATGGGTCGGGGAGCTCATCTGCAATCTCAGCTTGGCAACCCTGCAGGCTCATGCATAGCACCGCGAGGCATCCGATGCACACAAGGATGAATCCGCAACCGCTCAAGGCGCTTTCAAGCACATGCGGACGGCTCTCGGAGTCAAGCATGCGTGCCTGATTGGCATCGATCAAGGACATGAAGGTCAGCGCTTGCAGGAGCGAATGCACCCGTTGCGGGGGTCCCCTGAATGCCTTTACTGCCTTAACCGCAAGCTTCAAGGACAGGTTGTTGTCACGAGCAACGGCCTGGGCCTCTCCGACGCGATTGAACTGAGCATCACCATCCCTGATATTCAAGAGGTACATCAAGTACAGCATTCGCTCACGCTTAAGCACCTTGGTCATCAAGTCCGAAGAGTTGTCAAGGGTCCCGACCGGGTGGAGCTTGAATGCTCCATCCTTCAGGGCCTGTTGAACCCACAGCAATCTGATCTCGACGTGTTTGAGCTTGGAGAGCCCTTGCTTGTTCACAACAGCACGAGCTGAGGAAGAGTCGCTAAAGGCATGGCTTTCGGGAATGACTCCAACAATGAACCGCAGGGCCTCCTTCACATACATCAAGTCGACTGCAAAAGACACAAGGGCATTGAGCTCCGACTCGCAGCTTGACATAGCTACGACTCGTTGCGTGCGGCTCGCCGTGTAAATCGCATTCCCATTCAAGTACAAGGCCCCAGCGCTCACGCTCCGGCGTGTGGTGTGGTCGGAAGCCCAGTCGGAGTCTGTGTACAGCTCCAGCACGTCGGCGCCGGTATCACACTGGACTCTGGTGCCATGTCCTGCATGCGTGCGCTCCAGCCCAAGGCAGAACCCGCTGGTTGATTTAGCATATCGAACCAGGTGTTTGAGGGCCTTCATACAAGCCTCGGTTGGGCAGGCAAGGTGCTGGGAGAGCATGCGAATGGAATGTTGCATATCGGCAGTGTCCGCAGAGATGTACATCAGAATCCCGATGCACGACCTGTAAACTGACACCTGATCCTCTGGGAGAGGCTCTGACTTGGCCAAATCAAGTGTCTGCAATGGCAACGGAGTGGGCTTCGGGGAATGGCGCTCAAGCTGCAAAAGCTCAACAAGTTTCATGATATGTTTGTCAGCTTTCTGAATGCAAAGCAGATCCTGACGGGCCAAAGTATGTTTGCGCTTCAAGAAGTGCAAGCTGTCGCCTTCGCAAACAAGCCACTCAAGAGTGCACTTGTACTTTGACTCTATGATCTGCGCAAGTCTCTGCAGCTCAGCATGCTCGCCTGACCCCAACAAGTCGTCTACGTGAAGGAGTCCTCCGCCGGAGTGGTTGCGCATAGCAAACAGCGCCTCGCATCCGGGCCACAACGAAACTCCGCCCTCCGAAACCAGATACTTGGTGAGGTGGAAAACCAGACCGCTGAGCCATCCCGCTGCCCCGGTAGCATAAATGCCAAACGGTACGTAGTGCCGTGGAGCGTCACCACGGTCGGGCACGGCTGCTCGCAAGTCAAGTAGGCGTCTGATATATCACAGGACAACAGGGCATACCCTTTGCGAGACATGTACAAGCCTGGCAGAAGCTTGAGCAGCACAGTTTGGGATGCAGGGCTGTACAAACCTTCCCTGAGGGGATCTCTGAACCTGAATTCCCGGGCCACTAGCCTAGATCTCCTGAGCCACACAGGGGCATCAGTGACTGGATGCGTTTTCGGTCGCCAGCTGCGGACGAACTTCACCGTCAATGACTTGCAGTCCTCATTGCCTGACTCAGGCTGGTAGATCACACCCATTGCCTTGAGCCTAGCTATCTCGTGGTGGTCGCACAGCGCATCAAGGTCAGCAAGCTCCTCGGGGCTCAGGGCAGGCTCATGTGGTGAGAAAGGCCGATAAAGCTCATCAGGAGGGGCAAGGCCTTGCTCACACTCCTCCTCTTCATCATCTGAACACAGGCCGTCAAGATCATTGATGCTTTCAATGTCCGCTGGGGAGAATGCAAGATCGGAATCCTCGTCGGCATGGTGGTACTCCACACCGCACACAGTTGCGGCTGCAATCCTTGCACGGACCTGGAGCACCCTCCTCACCTGCTGGCCTGGGACGTTCCCTTGCAACTGAAGTGGCAGGGTCAACTGGCATAGGCTCAGCAGAACCGGCACTGCTTTGCACCAAAGGATCACCTGTAGCAACAGCCTGCGGTGCAACGGGGGCACCAGACTGCAACGGAAGCTCTGCGGCGTCAGTGCCGCCAGAAGCGGGAGCAGCAGCCTCACCGGAACGATGACCATCGGGGTCATCCTCACTCATCTGCGAAGAGCTCTCAGGATCAGAAGCGGCTTCCTGAGAAGGGCTGTAATCGCGCGCATCCTCAGGGATCTCTCCAGGACCTTCAGGCAAGGCCGCGAGCTCACCTAGCAAGTCGGAAACCCCACCAAGCTGATCCTCAACTACCAACCTTGCGTCACCGCCAGCCGGAAGGACCTTCGGCTTGCGTTGGGCTCGGGACCTACCTAAGGAACCCGCTACAAACCCGGGGTGGCGCCAAGGAGGATCACGGACACAGTCGTGCAAGGCTGGAGTGAAGCCAGTGGCAAGTCGGCGCACGGTGCGGGCCAACATGAGCTTGCCGGCTCCAGAACACAAGATGAACTCATCATTCGGAGTGCACTTTCCGATCATGATGGCCTGGATGAACCGCGGTTTGCCCTTGGGCCCGGGAGAAACCAATCCCATCACAGTTTCGCCAAACGGTAGCACTTTCCCTTTGTAAGGACGGCCATGTATGATCTCGAAAGGAGTGAGCCCTCCGGGTCGCAGCACAAATCTGTTCAGGATCCAAGAAGAATGCCGGAGGCACCATGAATGGAGAGCGTGGGCCGTTGCGACCTTAAGCTTGGTCTCTGCTTCGTACATCGAGAGCAGAGTGTTGCACTGCTGCCGCAGCGTTTGCACGGCAACCTCGGCACCTCCATTGGATTGGTGGCTTTCCTCAGCTGACTGCTGCACATCAGTTTGCAAACCCAGCTGTAGCCGCATGCGCCTCACCTCATTGCGTAGCTTCAAGCATGTGGGCTCGGGGTCGCATTGAAGCACAACTTTGGAGTAGCCTAGCATGCTAAGCAACCTGCAAATCTCAGCAGCAAGGTAGCTGGTGACATTGATCCCATCATGCACGCCTGCCTTGCCTGGCACCGGGATGGCCTCTCGCCAGCCACTCTCAGAATCGTGAAGACACAGAAAGGCAAGCTTGTTGTGAGGGTGCGGGCCAACATGAGCTTGCCGGCTCCAGAACACAAGATGAACTCATCATTCGGAGTGCACTTTCCGATCATGATGGCCTGGATGAACCGCGGTTTGCCCTTGGGCCCGGGAGAAACCAATCCCATCACAGTTTCGCCAAACGGTAGCACTTTCCCTTTGTAAGGACGGCCATGTATGATCTCGAAAGGAGTGAGCCCTCCGGGTCGCAGCACAAATCTGTTCAGGATCCAAGAAGAATGCCGGAGGCACCATGAATGGAGAGCGTGGGCCGTTGCGACCTTAAGCTTGGTCTCTGCTTCGTACATCGAGAGCAGAGTGTTGCACTGCTGCCGCAGCGTTTGCACGGCAACCTCGGCACCTCCATTGGATTGGTGGCTTTCCTCAGCTGACTGCTGCACATCAGTTTGCAAACCCAGCTGTAGCCGCATGCGCCTCACCTCATTGCGTAGCTTCAAGCATGTGGGCTCGGGGTCGCATTGAAGCACAACTTTGGAGTAGCCTAGCATGCTAAGCAACCTGCAAATCTCAGCAGCAAGGTAGCTGGTGACATTGATCCCATCATGCACGCCTGCCTTGCCTGGCACCGGGATGGCCTCTCGCCAGCCACTCTCAGAATCGTGAAGACACAGAAAGGCAAGCTTGTTGTGAGGGCCATCCTCCTCCGATCGGCCAGTGAAGCCGTAGTCGAAGGATATCACAGGAAATTTGCGATCAGTATTGGCAGCCTTGTGCATGTCATCCCTTGCTTTAAAGGCCACGCAGTGCTGGCACCATGCTTCATATGGGGCGTGTACAGCCTCGTGGGCTCGTCGCTGCTCTGGTGTGGGCTCCTTCGGAGCTGCCGGCACATTGGGCACAGGTGCATTCGGAACCTCAGCGGCGCGACTAGCCTCAATCAGCTTAAGCCTGTCAAGCTGGTTGCACAGCCTACGGAACACCACGGCTTTCGAGCCTGATTTCCCGACACCAAGGCTCTGGCATGCACGGCGAAGCACTGACAGGGTGCTGTCAAGACTCAGTTCGACATCATCGACAACAATCTTGTCTGGCTGGGCTTCGCGTTCGTCAGCGAGTGCCCCTTGCATCACTGCATCATCAAGGGCACCATCGCGTGCCTCGCCCCCGCCGGCTGCTTCAGCTGCAGCCCCGCCGGCTGACTCAACTTCAGCCCCGCCGCCTAACTCAACATCGGCCTCCTGCATTGCTTCACCGAAGAAATCCTCAAACACGGGATCTGCTGAAGACACTGGAGGTGCAGGGGCCGGCGCATCAAGAATTGGCATATCAGTTGCGAAACCGAGGTCGCTGGGTGCCAGCGGCTCACGATGACCGAACACGATCATCTCTACCTCCTGATCGGCAACCTGAGTGGTCAAGTCTTCGCCAAGGTCGGCGATTGAAGATGAAAGCTCGGAAAGAACCCAATCCCCATCTATCTTGATCAAGGTGGTGCGGTAGGCGAGACCCTCGTAAGGCAGATACAAGCTCAAATCGACAAGGTGCTTCGAAGTGAGGCTCGTGGCATGTACACCTGGGGCAATCTCCTGAAAGAAGTCTGTGCTGCGGATAAGGCGGTCAAGCAAGCCAGTCAAGCGCACCTTAATAACCCGAACTGCAGAGGGCTGAGGCTCCTGGATAGAGCGTATGACGCCCTTGCACACAAGAGTGTTGTTGCTGAAACCCACAGGGATCCGCGCTCCATGACACGGGCTGGTCAGGCACATTCCAAGATCATCAAAGTCAAGAAACCTCCAGCCCTGCTTGAGCAAGCTTGCCCGTGGCCAGAATCGGCTGAGAAACTGGCGACACAACCCAGCGCTCCTTCAGCTCGACTCCAGAAGCTTCCAAAGTGGCCAATCGGCTGCCCTTGGTGTGAATCGTGTTGCCCTGGCAGTCAACAAGCGGTGGCTCACCTGACGCATGAGACCCAACACACACGAAGTCAAGAGGCAGACATGACTCATCGGCGGCTGTGTCGACACAGATCTCCAACTGTTGCTCATAGCTGTGACGGCTGACTGCAGCTACACGCATGGGTGACGAAACAGGGCTGAGATCCCAATCGCCATCATGGTCACTGCTAGATATGTCAAACTCTGCAGGACAGCCACTGGGCACACATCGGACCAAAGTGGACTCAACGCGGCCTATGGACAGGTCTGACCGGCACGGCTCATCCGAAACTGCACAAGGATCTGACTGGCACGGCTCATGCGAAACTGCACAACGAATCGCTCTAACACTTGAGGAGGAAGCGGGATCACCAGGCATAGCACGAATGTCAAACATGATGCGCTTCACAGCTGCTTTGGCGGCTGCCTTGGGCGACGGTGATCCTTGATCTCCACCTGCAGCAGCATCATCCTCAGTGATGGCACGCACCTTGCCCGCAGCAAGGTCAGCTTTGTACTTTCTGCAATCTCTCTTGTAGTGCCCTTTCTTGTGGCAGTCGTGGCATTCGGCATCGGGGGAGGCCTTAGGTTTGGCTTTCGGCTTACCCTTAGGGCTGGGGGCATCCTTAGATTTTCCCTTATCACCTTTGCCTTTCCCTTTATCCTTCCCTTTCTTGCCTTTGCCCTTATCCTGACCCTTGATTTGGGCCACGGAACCTTCTTGGTCCACTTCCATGGAAGCACTGCCTTTGCTGGGACTGACAAGACCAAGCTCCTGCTGCACTCGCGCGGCACTCCAATTAGTAGTACTTACTTCATACGACAGCACAAGGTTCTTTACGTCCTCATAAGTCGTAGAAGCGTCCATTCTCAAGTGCACGTGGGATTGCAGGGCTTTGGGGATGGCTCTAAGTACAACTGACAGCTTGACATCACCAGGAAGTGCATTGCCAGAGGCCTTCTCATACTCGGCGATCAGCCGCTCGAAGCTGCTGAGTTGCTCACGCAGCGTTCGGTCACGCGTGAATGCTGGAAGCCCCATCACTGCACTCAGCAGCGCAAGCGACCTGGAGCGCGTCCTCGGGCTAAATTGGCAGGTTGCGATCTTCAATGCCGCGGTGTATTGCAAGAGGCCTCCCTTTCAAGACAGAGCCTAGAATCACATACAGCTTCCTAGCCCTTTCAAGACAAATGGATGGCATATTGGCAATGTGAGGCACTTCAGTCAAGCGTTGCTCTACTTCTGCTAGATCGCTCTCATAAGCAGGCTCTGCAAAGGTAACCCAGTTACGGAAACTGGTGGACCAGGCTAGCCAGCCCAGCGCATCCTGATCGGCATTCTCAGTGCCAAACGGCTCGGGATACTTGAGAACCTTGTTGGCTAAAGTAAAACCCCCACTATTGTCAAGAGGTGGCTTGTTGGCCGCTGCACTCTGCTGAGACACCATCATCAGAGTCTGCTGCGCAGTCTGAGCAAGCGACATCACCATCGTCTGCATAGCCTGCATGTCAGCAAGCTGTGGCCCTGGAGCCTGTGGGAAGGGACCTGCAGGGAACCCCGGCACTTGCGACGACGAAGCAACCTGCGGCGGATCTCCAAGGTCGTCATCATCATCATCATCCAACGGCACATTCGGTGGCTGTGACACCGGACTTCCATGTGCAGACATTTCTGCAACAGTGTGGTATTGGGCTCGTAAACAAAAATCAAGATAGGATCACAAAGGCTGATCAATCAAGGTCAATGCAATGCGTAGCTCTCCTAAGCCGGTGCTTGAAGACGTT